CCGGACAAACCATGTATGTTATATTAAAATGTTACATCTATAAGTGAGAAATTACAATTAACATGGATGTTACATGTAACGTACACGTTATATTACCTGTTATATTCCGTTTTATTATAGCAATGTAACAATTATATATCGGTGTTTGCTGGGTGTGTTTCAATATTATTAAGTTGATAATTAAATTCTAGAGAACCTGGTAAATTAAATTTTTCTATTTGATTGAATAAATTAATATGAGTATAATAAGTTTCAATTAGAGTTCCAATTTTTTTTTGTAATTTTCTTCGTGTATTTCGTTGATAAGACTTTGGAGGGTGTGATTAAGAGGATGAGATTCGCGGACAATAGTTTTACAAATATGAAAGCTGGTGGTTTTTTTTAACATCGTCCATCCCTTCTATACGTTCCTACGAAACATTCCCTATTCCTAAAATTTCCCAGATCCGAAAAGTCAATTCCAGCTCTCGGCGCATCCCAAAATATAGTCGGTGCATGCAGATGGCCCTAAATAAATAGAGAGCCCTTTCTTCCCAGACCTAAAATAATAGAGGAGGAAAGAAGGTCACTCGGACGTGAGGGTTGTGACGTCCCGTCTATTTTAAAATTTTTATTTTTCAATATAACTATTGCGCGCTACTCATATTTTCGTAGGAATAAGATTATTAACAATCATTATACTGTGCTAATCGCTCTAATCTGACTTTTAATATTAATAGATAAAATCGCCAGATCTGGGGTCCTCTACCTAAAAACCAAACATCTCTATCTAGTCCTAACCACGCGACCAATCAGGCACCACCTAGGGACCCCAGAGACGGCATGTAACCACAGATTAATAGACAGATTGCCAAAGGTCTGGATGAAGGAGAGACCAGCATTTCTCACTGATTTCAGCGCCATATCGTAGTAGTGGTCAATGCAGTAACTATTAATACGTTCCCAAGATAAGAGCGTCTCATGAACTCGTCCGGCGGCATGTACGAGATTTATCTTTTCGTAGCGTTCGCGTCGGAAAGGACGAAATAAATAAAAAAATAAAGAAAGAAATAAGAAATAAATAAATAAATAAATAAATAAAAAAATAAATAATAAATAAATAATAAAAATAAAAAAATAAATAAATAAATAAATAAATAAAATATTAACCTGACCTATTATAATTATTTTTTAATAAATGTTTCATTATTATTATCATCTAAGTCTAAGTCGTTTAATTAATTTTTAGTTTTTTAATAATTAATTTAATTTATTCTAATCATTTTAATATGTGAAAAATACTAATACGTATACGTTTTATAATGAATTAATATATTTCGAGAGTCGAATTATATATTTTTAATAATATAAAAGTGTTCAAAAATTATATTTGACTTTTAATTTTAATTATTTTAGCAAAGAGTTCCGAAATCTCTTACACACATAATAGGGATTTTGTTCATCCATATAATTCGCAATTAAGTATATATGTTAATTATTAATTTTAATAAAATACAAAATTAAAATTAAAGGTCAAATATAATTTTTGAACATAAATATATTTAATTCGTTATAAAACGTATACCCGTGATAGTATTTTTCTCGTACAAAAATAACTAGAACAAATTAAATTACTCATAAAAAAATAAAAAATAATTAAATAATTTATATTATATATGATAATAATAAAACATTTTATAAAAAAAACAGATTCAATAAATATAAGTATATATATAACATGTACTTATATTTATTGAATCTGTTTTTAATAAAATGTTTTATAAGCTTAGAAAACTTGACTTTGACGTAACTAGCAAATTTTATTTAATTATTTCACGACGGTTTGACGTAATAAAATGTTTTATTATTATTATATAAAATATAAGTTTAAATTCTTTAATTAATTTTTAATCTTTTATGATTAATTTAATTTACTCTAATTATTTTTGTACGAGAAAAATACTATCATGGGTATACGTTTTATAATTAATTTAATATATTTGTGTTTAAAAATTATATTTGACCTTTAATTTTAATTTTTATTTTATTAAAATTAATAATTAACATATATACTTAATTGCGAATTATATGGATGAAAAAAATCCCCATTATGTGTGTAAGAGATTTCGGAACTCTTTGCTATAAAATAATTAAAATTAAAAGTCAAATATAATTTTTGAACACTTTTATATTATTAAGAATATATAATTCGGTTCCCGAAATATATTAATTCATTATAAAACGTATACGTGATATTATTTTTCTCATATAAAAATGACTAGAATAAATTAAATTAATTATTAAAAAACTAAAAAGTAATTAAACGACTTAGACTTAGATGATAATAATAATGAAACATTTTATTAAAAAAAGATTCAATAACTAGTAGGTCAGGTTATAATTTTTTATTTATTTATTTATAACATTATGAGCTATTAAGCTCATCATCTCGTTCGCTCTCTGTCTTGCTTTCATTCGGCAAGTCACAAACGATATATGATACTCGTATGTTCCTACTTCAACTCTCGAGAATCTGAAACAAACGAAACTCGTGTCCAATATACAGGGTGTCCGGTAACTAACAGACCAATGATTACAAATGGATTCTTTGGTCAATTTGGGAACGATTTTTCCTCAGCGAAAATGTCGAAAAAGGTCATCATTTTTTACAACTTTCCAATCTTTGTCATTATGTATCTTTATAACTAAGCCTTAAATTAAAATTTTATTATAGTAAACTCTACCTGAAATTAACTGAAGAATGTAATTATGTTAGACTTTTAACTCCAAAACGTTTAGTTTTCAAAAAACCTATTTTTTTCAATCGCTTATAACTCGAAAATTATTGACTTCTCAACATTTTTGCTAAGGAAAAATCGTCTCCAAATTGGCCAGAGAATCCGCCCTTAATCATTGGTCCGTTAGTTACCAGACACCTTGTATATATTATATAAAAGTGTATAGCACGTCAGAAGCTTGTGAGCTTACAGCGATAAGTAAAAACAATTGCGTATTTATTTCATTGCGTTTATCTGTTTAAACGCGCGCTTTAATTTTTCCAACGTTTTTGCCTGTTTATATTTTAAAGGTCCTCTCTTCTAAAAATCTTGTTTTAAAGATCCTCTCCGCGAGCAAAATTCGAAAACATAAATTATTTAATATTTTTACTTTATTATTTGTAAATCCTCGGTAATTTCAAAATTTTTCTATTTGAAAATTATTAATTTTCTATTGCCAATTAATTTTATCACAGACTTTACTCTTACTCCCATTGCACTTTCGTTTGCGGTTTTCAGTATACGATTTTTTATCGTAGTTACTGAAAATTATTATTGTGAATTATACTTGTGCAGTGATTTGAAGAATTTACAATTTCGTTGAAATTGTTGATTTTTCAAAAAAATTACGAGATTCGCGGAAATTGCGTGCTTTCTTGGCATTTTCCGTTCGCGGCAGGCGGTTTATTTTTGATTGTTGCAAGTGTTTTTTTTTTTTTTTATTAAAATAGATAATAATAATGTGAAATAAATCACGATATTTGACAGATGTGCATATATATAGAAATTGTAATAATAATAATATTATATCATAAAATTGTAAATTGTTTCAATTTTTTATAGACTGCGATAAAAGATTTTACATTTGGATAAGAAACTGCGGTAAGTAAAAATATAAAATTCTTGAAAACGTACCAAAATATTTGATAACGTAAAAAGGTGAACTTTGAAAAATAAGGAACTTAAAAATTGCACTAATAAATGGGCTATATGTGAGCCGTGCGCGGATGTAAGGTGTGTTATATCGAAATTTAATTAATAGAATTGAGAATTAATCCCAATTTTAAGTCTTACAAATGTCCAAGCTAATTTTTTGTACCTCGTGTACATTTTTGAAAGTTATATCGAAAAATTAAATTTCAATATGCGTCTTACATCTCACATTTCGCATACGGCTCACATATAGCCTATTTATCTTTTATACTTTATTTCAACCCTTATAGAAATTTATTACTAGTAACGCCAATTTATCACTTATTTCGAGTAATTAATCACTTTTATTTCGAATACTTAAATTACTGTATATTATAGTATTTTAAATACTCAAAATAAGTGATTAATTGGCGTAGTGATAAATTTCTACAAGAGAATAAGGAGCCTTTAAATTCTTAATGTAAAAAATTTCAAGTAATTTTCTTTAATAAAATTTAATTAAAAAATTTAATTAAAAAATTTTTGAACACTGTGTTATATCACATTTAAAATCGTGATTATTTCAATAAAAAAACATTTTATGTGTAAAAAATATATTTTTTATATTTAATAAATTTTATATATATATATGCATATATGTAAAATATTCTCTCTCTCTCTCTCTCTCTCTCTCTCTCTCTCTCACACACACACACACACACACACACACAACGGGGGCCAAATCTCTCAAATTGGTCTCATGATCAATTAGCCTGGATTCGCACCAGGGGCAAAGTCTGTTGGTAATGTCAAACGAATTTAGCCTGGACTTGCACCAGGGGCAAAGTCTTTTGGTCGAGTCTACGAAATTTAGCACGGACTCGAACCAGGGGCAAAGTCTTTTGGTTCAAGTCTACGAATTTAGCACGGACTCGAACCAGGGGCAAAGTGTGTCGGTAAGGGGCAAAGTCTATCGCACGAAGATGGCGGTCTCTTCTTTAGGCAGGCCTTTGGCGATCTGTCTATTAATCTGTGTTTATGTCACACTTTTTATTCATCACTCTTGTGAGCCTTTCGTTTATTCCGTAATTACATTGTTTATTGTTTACTTAATTATTTATTATATATTTTATTTTACTGATTATCACCAGTGGCAGTGATTATTTTTCAGCTTTCTCTACGTGTACTCGGCAAACATAAGAATAAGCGCTTCGAATTTGACGCCTAATGATGACATTGTCAGGCTGCAATTCTCATTGGTTAGCTGGCGTTACCATGCGCATAAGCATACCCTTGTCTTTATATCATGGAGCCACCTATACATCTTGTATAAATATAGTTCATGTTTTACTGGTCATAAAGTTGGTCGTGTGCTCCGCATAGATTTTGAGTAACGTATTTTCGTGAATTTTGGATCGTTATCATGTCTTCAGGTACAGTTTTATGCACATGATGATTCCTGATGAAAAACGATTCTTTTATAAGTAAAAATAATCCCGAAAATGTCATTCGCGATGCCATTTTTACTCCGCATGCTTGCATCTAACCAAACTGCTCGCGACGTGGTCACCATGCTTTTAATATTACACCAGCTCTGCGATATGCTTGGACAAAGAGTGCAGTTAAATGATTTACGTGATTTGCAGGAAAGAAGGGTAAGAAGAAGAAGGGTGTGACTGTCAATTTGTGGTCGTTTTTGGCTGACGGAAATGGGCCGACTCCTAATATACCCATGAAATCTTCAAATTGGGTTGATGAGGTGGAGGATGAGCATGGTAAGGCCATTGATTCGTTGTGACAAATTATTTTCATGCAAAAAAAAAAAAATAAAATCAAATTTTTTTCTTAATTATTAAATACATCTGTTTGTATATCTCAGATAGTCAAGTCTGCCAAGATCATCTATTGCAAATTATGTGTTACATATATTATGTTGGCAGAACTCTGACAGCAACTGAGCATGATCTGCCATTTTAAATAGTATCTGCAAAAATATAACAGACATTTGAACATGCTTTGTCATCTTGAAAAATAACAGTAAAGATGCAGCAAAAATAGTGAGAAATATAGAATGATCTAGTGATAGATAAAAAGGCCAACTTATCGAGCAATTATTAGACTGTCAAAATTTATTCCATGTATAAACTAAACATAAAACATTATGTGAAAGCTACAGATATTCTATACTCAAAATTAAGCAGAGAGTTTGAAATGAGGTGTCTTTATATTGTTGGTCTTGTCTTGTGTCATCTTTAATAACTTTTTTAAAAAAACGTGGTTAAAATTGTCAAGGACAATGTCAACGCCTATGGAACGTATTAATTTCTCGCATATTAATGATGAAACTTTTCAAGATTTGATTAAAATCAAAGGTCATATCGAGGCGAACATTTGTTGGATATGACGGATTAAAACACGCTTTAATTGCTTATAAATTCTCGACTCTTATTATTGAAGAACTAACATTAATTTTTGATATTATGTGGAATTTTTGTATGAATTTGTGTTTTTTTAATAATTACTGTAATATAATACTGAGGAAGACCGCGTGCGGTTGAAACGTTTATTTTATAATGGTTGTAATTTTCGCTTAAGTTTGAGTATAGAATGTTTGTAGCTTTCACATAATGTTTTATGTTTAGTTTATACATGAAATAAATTTTATTTGACAGAACAACTCTAATAATTGCTTGATAAGTTGGCCTTTTTATCTATCACTAGTTGTATTTACAATATACGAGCAAAACTTTGTATTAATTGATAGAATGATCTGTTGTAAAATAATAGAAACAACATCAAGATATTATATAAGATACATTATACTATTTAATTTTTTCATTTACTTATATGTGTATTTATATCATATTCAAATTTTCATCAGTGGCATTTATAAAAAATATACATTTATATGAGAGTCTGATATGATAGATTTTGCGCGCTACATATCTGTTTTCATATTGTAATAACAAATATTGCTCAATTTTTGTTGCACTTTTATTGTTCTACTATCAGCAAACTGTGCTGTTAGAAATTAAGTGTAATAAGAATAGAGCATGTCGGAATCTGCTGCAGAATTATTAAATTTTCTGGTATATTGTTAGGCATACTGTTAGGCATATTGCATTTTGCTATTTGGGTACATGTTAAGAATATTAAATTATAAGTACTGTTTTTGTGCACATGTATGGTAAATAAAAAATTACTTTATTACATTTATTTAAAAAAAAAGATAAAATAAGCTATAATATATTGATATAATATAATAATAATAAAGGGTAAAATATTTGAATGTGTTATACACTTCTCTGTAATAATAAATTTGTATTGACACATACAGAATTACTGGAGCATATAAATTTTTTTTTATTATATCAATTTTTTAACATTACAGAAGGATATTCATCAAGGAGCAGCAAAGATCCAGTTATTTACCAACAGCTCCGCGAGCTGCACGAGGACCTGGAATTGATGAGGAAAATATTCCTACAAGTCCTCCATATGTAGCCTATATAAGCAATCTGCCCTATGATGTAGATGAAAGTGATTTAACTGACTTTTTTGCAGATATGAAGGTCGATTTTAAATATTAATTTAAAATTTTACATATTGATTACGAAATCTTAAGTTGTTTATGTTTAATAGTCAAATATAAAAATCTAAATATCTAAATATAAAAATCTAAATATTCTATTTTTATATAAATTAGTCACAAATTGTGTATTTTTTTTGCACAGGTTTCTAATATGCGTTTGCCGAAAGACGCAAATAAAATTAGGGGTTATGGATATGTCGAATTTTCAGATCGCCAAAGTCTAATTGATGCTCTTTCTATGACAAATACAGTAAGCAGATGTATTTGTTAGCAAATATGATACTTGTTAGCATCATCAAAATTTGAATCATTGAAATTATTTATGTCATATATCTTTCTTTTTAGACTAAAGACGAGACGAGTAAGAATCGAAGTTTCAAACAGCAGTAATGATGATCGTCGAGGCAGTAGGATGGGCAGAGACAATCGTAGGGATAATTACGATGATCCAGAACGTACATCTGGAGATTGGAGAAGTGGGCCGCGTGAAGATTTGTTGGATGAGGATTCTTATCGCAGCCGATACGATAAAGATCGATATGATAGTAGAGATCGGCGAGACGATAGAGACAGTATACATATATTTTTTTAAAATTTTATACAGGATTACGTATTTAAAAAAAATATGTTTAAGTATATAAAAAACCGCATTTTAGAAAACAATGTTTTAAACACAAGTTTGGGAAATTGATAATCTTAAATTTTAATTATGGTTTTTTTTCTAGATTAAGGCCCGACTTCATAGTCAGATCTTAATATTTAAGATTGTCTCAAGTCCGAGCTCAAGACGACACGCAGTCATTTGATTGGTTGAACGGGATCTTAAGTTAACCTCCGACCAGACTTAAGACGATCGGAAATATAAGATCGGACTATGAATACGGGCCTAAGATTTGAAAATTAAGTAATTTTTAAAATGAAATTATCCTAATTTTTATATAAATTTTTATATAAATCGATTTTTTGCGACATTCACTACAAATAGTTAAAATAATCAAGAAGTGAATAGTTTATGAAATATTTCATATTTTAATATAATTTCATATAAACTATGAAATATCTCATAAAACATTCATTTTTCGTCGATCTTATTTCAATACTTTTATACATTAAATAATGAAAGGAATTTATTGATGTAAAGAAAACACATAGTTATTTTTAAGAAGTATGTAATTTGCAACTAGCAGCTATATATACTTTTTCTTACAAACAATTATGTCTTTTATTTATATCAATTAATTTTTTTCATTATATTTATGCGTAAAAGTATTGAAGTAAGATTACCGAAAAATGAATATTTTATGATATATATCTTATATTTTATGTAAAATTACATTAAATTAAAGTATAAAATATTATATCTCGTAAACTATTTACTTTTGGCTGCTCTTTTCTTTTATAACTTAGTTCTACCTTTATAACTTTTTGTGCCAAATATTGCAAGAAATTGATATATATGTAAAAAGATTAGGGGGTCATTGAAAAAAAACCTACATTGTCAAATAATCTTGACAAAAATTACATTAGTTAAAATTCAAGATCATATATCAACTTCTTTCTTCATTAAACCAAACAGCTTTTGTTTAAAATATTGTTTTCTAAAATGCGATATTTTTTGATATATTTAAACATATTTTTCAAAATAGGACATCCTGTATTCATAAATAAAAATAGAAATTATTCTTTTAAAATCAATTATACAATGGAAAATTTTCTTATATGAAATAGGATATGATGACAACAAACCTGGTGCATGGCGTGAAAGAGATAACAATGATAAAGGATTTAAAGAAAGAAGTGGGTTTAGAGATGATAGCAGAGATAGAGACTGGAATCGTTTTGGCGATAGAGGGAGGAGCAAAGATCGGGATGGGGACAGGAGTAGCAGTTTTGGACCGCGTCGCAATTATGGTGACTCCGATTGGGATCGCCGACAAGAGCGAGATGCGAAACGTAAGTATATAATTATTTGCAGAGAATGATATAAAAAGTCCAACAAGAGGACATTGTATTTTAAATTAAATTACTTATATGCATTTCAATTTAATTATAATTATTTAGCTGAGCCGCGCCAAAGACCAAAATTGCAACTGCAACCTCGCACGAAACCCGTGGAACCTATTGTAATTGCGGAAGATTCAACTAAAGAAGGTTCGGTAGAATCGAAATCAACAACGGGATCGGAATTAATTCAACGAGCTCCAGCTCCCACGCCCGTGCCGGCAGTCAACATTTTTGGTGCTGCGAAACCTGTAGATACTACTGCCCGCGAACGAGAAATAGAAGAGCGTCTTGCTAAGTCTTACGCCGAGTCACGATCCCGAGAAGAAGTGTATGTATGAAATCTAAAAATAAGATTAGAGCTTATAAATGGTCAGATGTCGGCATTTTTTAAGGCTCTTTGGTACTCGCCACGGCAATGTTATACTGTGACATCAGATGCGAGAAAATATATGCTAAAAATTTTTGGGTAGATTTTTAGAAAAGAAAAAAGATATTTTGATGAAATGTAACTTTAGATGGCTTTAGTACACTTAAAATATTCTGAAAACTATCCTGTTTATAATCAATCAATAGCTGTAAAATGACTGATATAAGGCCTGATTCATATATAGTCTTGCACATACGCAGTCATTCCACATGACCAAAGTTTGATGTTTCAATTATTTTATGGGTGTTAATTGACAAATATCAAGAAAAAAAATAGTTTTTGGAGTATTTTAAAAGTGTGCTAAAATTATCTAAAGTTGTGTTTTATCAAAATATCTTTATCTAAAAATGGCACACAAAAATTTTCAATGTATATTTTCTCTCACCTCACGTTACAATTTAGCCTAATTCGACATCTCGAATTATTACACCTCTATTTTTTGACATGGCTAGTATAATCGCCATTTGTTGCATGTCTATGCTATTAATATAATTACTGAACAAAGAGACAATTTCATTGACCTTATTTCTTCTGCATAGCACAAGTGTAGCATTCGTGAAGGCATTTCTATCAATATATTACATGCACGAATGTGACACTAAAATAATATAGAGCGAATGTATCGTTATATCTGAAATTTAAGTCAAAATATTTTTTGGCTTCTGGGAAAAAAATATTATATATGATTGTTTGTATGAATATTATATGTGTGTGTGTGTGTGTGTGTGTGAAAAAGAATAATAATAGAGTAGAATAATGACTTATAAAGTAATCAAATATATGTATATTCAGTAAGACGGTTGTTTGTTGGACATAGTAATTTGCTTTTACTTTCTTATTTATTATGCCATAAAGAAAATAGCTGAATATGATGCATTTATGCATAAATATATATATATATGACATGAAGACGATTACATTAAAATCATGATAAGTGACATAAAAAGGTTTTAATCATTACTATACAGGTGTCTCAGACTACCCGTATCAGCAGGTTTTTGAAATGACGTATTTTCGTGAAAAATATTTCATACAAAAATTGTAGAACTCTAACAATAAGTTATGCATTATATAGTATTATTATGTATTATATATAGTATTATTATGACCTTGAATAGCATTGTCAAGGTCATATAAAGATCACCTTGAAATTTTTAAATAGAAACCCACATTTTTATTGCATATTCGTGTAGCTTACTTCGAGAGCTTTCTGAAACATTATAATAAAGTATTTTTCTATTAAATATTTTTTTAATTATAAGGCTAAATGTGCGGGTCATAAATCGGCCGATTGTGCGGATTGTTACACTCGGCTTCGCCTCGTGCGCTAAACTTTCACACTCTCGGCCGATTTACGATCCCTCGCACTTGTTAGCTAATATAGTATTTAATAACTGTTTATATAAGTGGTCTTAAAAATAACATTATGTGGAAGTTATCTAGATTAATTGTCTTATAATTTTGTTTTATCTAGATATATTTATAAGATGAATTTACATATTTTCTCATCTCATCTTTATTTAATTTTAAAATTAATTTAAGCACAACACATATAAGTCGTAGGTCAATAACTATCCATTAAGTTTATTTTGTTCAGCAGGTCATAAATTATACACATGAAAAATTAGCTGATTTTAGAATTCAACTTCATATATTATTTTTTTACATATAAGTAATTAAAATGGAAAGATAATTAATATTATGAATTATTATTGTTATTCATATTGAATAACGATAATAACTTTACCTGTTTTAATTATTTATTTATGTTACTATTTGTATATGACAGCCTTTAATTTACAGCCTTAAAATACATTTAACTGAATTTGCTAATATGAGTGGAAATATCAGTAGAGATATATTTAACACATCTTTATATCGCACAACTGCAAGTGTATGGCGATTGGGTTATAGTGAGGGCATTATAATAATTTTTAAAAAACTTTTCGTTCTTATTTTATACCGGAAGTTATTCCTTTAGTCTAGAAAAATTACGCTATTGTAAATTAACATAAAAGAATGTTCAGTTTTTACTTTTATTAAAAATCTTGATATTTTTCTTCCAGGGACAGCAAGGAACGTAAAGATCGACGTAATGGCGTAAGTATTATATTTTGAACATATAAATAATATATTTGGAATATTTAAAAAAATATGACAACACGCTAAATAATTGCCGTTTGTAGGAAGGACGCGACGATAGGGAGAGAGGCAGACCAACTTGGCGATCAGAAGAAGATAGAGCTATTCGGCACGAGAAATCCGCACCGCGATCTCAACTTGCTTCAGCGCGTTCTGGTAAATGTTATTTTTCAGATTCTTAAGGCTTTTAGATCCTCGCCGCGATCATGTTGGATTGTCATGTCAAAGGCGAGAAAGCACACGCTTAAAATTCTTAGGTACTATTTTTAAATGAAAAGATATTTCGGTGACACACTTTCAGATGGCTTTAGCACTTTTAAAATACTTCGAAAATTTTTCCTTTGACAGTCAATCAACAAATGACCGTAAATTGATTGTGATATCAGACTTTGTCATGCGGAATGATTGCACATGTGCAAAGACCAGACAGACTGGTGGGTTATTACAATCCTTTTACAGCTGTTGATTGATTATAAAAGGAAAAGGATAGATTTCGAGATATCTGAAGTGCTGTTTAATCGAAATTCTTTTTATTTTGAAATGGCATCTAAGAATTTTTAACGTGTGTTTTTTCGCCTCTGATGTCACAATTTACATAGTCAGCGAGGAACCAGAGGCCTTAATAAATGTGACTTAAAGTGTATTTAACTGAAATGTATTTGCAAAATAGAAGAGCAGAATGAGTCCAAAGCAACTTCGCGTCCTGAGCCGTCAACATTTAAAGTATTTCACAAATCTAATGAGAAAGATACTCGTGTAACTTTGGAAAGGTATTGACAAAGAGAGATATTTATGAATACATATATATAGATATTTACATATTTTATGCTTATTTGTACTTTATTTATATTATTACTATAGAGATCATAAAGACAAAGAGAAAGATGAACTTAGCAGAATGCCAAAGGCAAAGGATGAACAAGCTCCAGTGAGAAAACTTAATTATTATACAATAAAATAATTAAGTTACATTAATGAATGATATATAATATTGAGATTTTTTTTACAGAATTTTGTAGCTTCCAACAAATATTCCATGCTACCTGATGATGTGGATCCCGATAATATTGATGAATAGTCCTAATCGATTTTCAATTTGCATCATCGACTAAATTGTGCCACATGCAACATTTGCGATTATGCATTTTATTAATAATTTGTTTTATCTGTATTAAATATTGTATGGATTCATTATACACCAGGCATTATGCTTTTGGCATTACTTTATTGGAATTATTGTTGATTTATATTTAATCTCAATTTTAATATTTTCTCTATAATTATCTACTTATATATTTACTTTATATTTCAACATACGCGCGAAATGTTTCGGCATTATTAAATTGCAACATCGTAAATTTCTCACAATTTCAAAGTAAACACATTAATTGCAATTTATTGTATTGATTATTTTACATTATTTACATTTGATTACCAGAATAATTATACAAAAATGACAGAAATTGTGAAACTTTATACAACATTAAATTTGTTGTACAATAATTGTACGATATTGTGACTTTCACTTTAAGTGTAATATAACAACGCCAATATAAAAAGATATAATTAAATTAATAATTAATATGGGGGTATAATTATAGCTTACTTCAATTTTTAATTTTCCCTGCATGTATAAATATTATATTTTAAAACATATTATATTTTAAATTAAATATATCAATGTTTTAAAACAATTGCTTGTGAAGTAAAATATTTTACCATAAGAGAATCCTTAAAAAATTAAGTAATATAATATTATATAGCACTATAATAAAAATGTTTGCGATTTTTCATTTTATAATCAATAATTTAAAAAAAAGTAATATCTGTTTATCTACATTCCGATTAGGTATATAGATAAAAAATTCTCTAATCAGTTTGACGTGAAAATTCCTATTGTATTGATCATTACGCAACCGCTGTAGAGTTTTAGTAGAAAATTTTATTAATTGAATATTTTCTAATTATTCTTTTTCATATAATTTAGAAATCGTTTAGAAAAGTGTAGGAAAATAATTTGAAATAACATTTGGGAAATAATACACTGCTAAAAAAAATAGAACACTTCATCCTAAAAATTGTTATTTTTAAACCACCGAAACTCGGCAAAAAATTATCGTAGATTAAAAATTAAACACGCATTTTATATATCAGGAGACGCGGTAGCGTCTCGCTAAGTTGTATCTTTCATTTGTCTTCAAATTAAAATATAATCTATAAAAAAACAAAAAAATATCGAAAGATATCGAAAAGATAGCGAAAATATCGAAACAATAACGAAAATTATCCGTAGGACGCTACTGTGGATCCTTTACCAGAGGTAACGATTTTCGTAACTTTGAAAACAATAATTTGAAATATTTCATGAACCGGAACATATTTTTCAAAAGATCATATCAATCGAAAGCGTGATATTTTCCGAGTAAAATGAGACCTTAAAGCGGGGAGCACACATTTTTGCATAAATGCATAAGCGTAAGCATAAGAATCTTGATTGGCCTATAAACGTATGCATAAAAAATTCAACCAATCGAATTTCTTATGCATATGCTTATGGAAAAGTGTGTTGTGACGTCCCGCCTATTTTTATTTTTTCGCTCTCAGTATAACTATTGCGCGCTATTCATATTCTTGTAGAAATAAGACTATTAACAATTATTATATTTTACTAATTGCTCTAATTCAACTATTTTGGTATTAAGGGTCGACAGATCGTCCGGCCAGACTCCGAATCAGTGTTGTTAGACGGGCTAGGTTTTTTCGCGCATGCGCATTGAATGTAGTATTAATGAAGTAGTCACTCGCATGAAATGGGGTCCTGATTTCCCCCTCTGTTTAATTTTTCTTAAATTATTGAAAATTTTTAAAATAATTAATGAATCGTATAATTTTTATTATAAATATAATAAATTTAATTAAAAATGTTAAATATAAACATACAATAAACAAATAATGAAATTATAAAATATATACATATACGTGTACCTATGTTATAACATACGTAAATTACGAGTTTAGTTTTTATTTATACAATTTATAATTTGAATTATTGATTAATTTTAATATACATAAATTATAATAATACACTTTTATATTACATATATTGTAATAATTTATTTATTTTTACGTACGTTCAATTTATCTGTTTCCTGCGATTCCGCCAAAACTCCGTGGTCCAGGGTCTTGGTCCGTAGTTGCGCGCGCAAACATCATACGTTACTGTAGTCGTCATGGTTACGTCACGGTAATACGCGCATGCGCGAAAAAACCTAGCCCGTCTAACAACACTGCTCCGAATTGATGTTGAAGACCTCGCGTGGTGACAACGCGAAACTCCGATTTCAGTGTTACCAACGCCGAGAAACCAATTCTCTGGTTTTATGTAGTGGTGCATGTCTGTACACGTACATACCCCATTGCCACAGATTAATAGACAGATCGCCAAAGGCCTGCCTAAAGAAGAGACCGCCATCTTCGTGCGATAGACTTTGCCCCTTACCGACACACTTTGCCCCTGGTTCGAGTCCGTGCTAAATTTCGTAGACTTGAACCAAAAGACTTTGCCCCTGGTTCGAGTCCGTGCTAAATTTCGTAGACTCGACCAAAAGACTTTGCCCCTGGTGCAAGTCCAGGCTAAATTCGTTTGACATTACCAACAGACTTTGCCCCTGGTGCGAATCCAGGCTAATTGATCATGAGACCAATTTGAGAGATTTGGCCCCCGTTGTGTGTGTGTGTGTGTGTGTGTGTGTGTGTGAGAGAGAGAGAGAGAGAGAGAGAGAGAGAATATTTTACATATATGCATATATATATATAAAATTTATTAAATATAAAAAATATATTTTTTACACATAAAATGTTTTTTTATTGAAATAATCACAATTTTAAATGTGATATAACACAGTGTTCAAAAATTTTTTAATTAAATTTTTTAATTAAATTTTATTAAAGAAAATTACTTGAAATTTTTTACATTAAGAATTTAAAGGCTCCTTATTCTCTTGTAGAAATTTATCACTACGCCAATTAATCACTTATTTTGAGTATTTAAAATACTATAATATACAGTAATTTAAGTATTCGAAATAAAAGTGATTAATTACTCGAAATAAGTGATAAATTGGCGTTACTAGTAATAAATTTCTATAAGGGTTGAAATAAAGTATAAGAGATAAATAGGCTATATGTGAGCCGTATGCGAAATGTGAGATGTAAGACGCATATTGAAATTTAATTTTTCGATATAACTTTCAAAAATGTACACGAGGTACAAAAAATTAGCTTGGACATTTGTAAGACTTAAAATTGGGATTAATTCTCAATTCTATTAATTAAATTTCGATATAACACACCTTACATCCGCGCACGGCTCACATATAGCCCATTTATTAGTGCAATTTTTAAGTTCCTTATTTTTCAAAGTTCACCTTTTTACGTTATCAAATATTTTTGGTACGTTTTCAAGAATTTTATATTTTTACTTACCGCAGTTTCTTATCCAAATGTAAAATCTTTTATCGCAGTCTATAAAAAATTGAAACAATTTACAATTTTATGATATAATATTATTATTATTACAATTTCTATATATATGCACATCTGTCAAATATCGTGATTTATTTCACATTATTATTATCTATTTTAATAAAAAAAAACAAAAACACTTGCAACAATCAAAAATAAACCGCCTGCCGCGAACGGAAAATGCCAAGAAAGCACGCAATTTCCGCGAATCTCGTAATTTTTTTGAAAAATCAACAATTTCAACGAAATTGTAAATTCTTCAAATCACTGCACAAGTATAATTCACAATAATAATTTTCAGTAACTACGATAAAAAATCGTATACTGAAAACCGCAAACGAAAGTGCAATGGGAGTAAGAGTAAAGTCTGTGATAAAATTAATTGGCAATAGAAAATTAATAATTTTCAAATAGAAAAATTTTGAAATTACCGAGGATTTACAAATAATAAAGTAAAAATATTAAATAATTTATGTTTTCGAATTTTGCTCGCGGAGAGGATCTTTAAAACAAGATTTTTAGAAGAGAGGACCTTTAAAATATAAACAGGCAAAAACGTTGGAAAAATTAAAGCGCGCGTTTAAACAGATAAACGCAATGAAATAAATACGCAATTGTTTTTACTTATCGCTGTAAGCTCACAAGCTTCTGACGTGCTATACACTTTTATATAATATATACAAGGTGTCCGGTAACTAACGGACCAATGATTAAGGGCGGATTCTCTGGCCAATTTGGAGACGATTTTTCCTTAGCAAAAATGTTGAGAAGTCAATAATTTTCGAGTTATAAGCGATTGAAAAAAATAGGTTTTTTGAAAACTAAACGTTTTGGAGTTAAAAGTCTAACATAATTACATTCTTCAGTTAATTTCAGGTAGAGTTTACTATAATAAAATTTTAATTTAAGGCTTAGTTATAAAGATACATAATGACAAAGATTGGAAAGTTGTAAAAAATGATGACCTTTTTCGACATTTTCGCTGAGGAAAAATCGTTCCCAAATTGACCAAAGAATCCATTTGTAATCATTGGTCTGTTAGTTACCGGACACCCTGTATATTGGACACGAGTTTCGTTTGTTTCAGATTCTCGAGAGTTGAAGTAGGAACATACGAGTATCATATATCGTTTGTGACTTGCCGAATGAAAGCAAGACAGAGAGCGAACGAGATGATGAGCTTAATAGCTCATAATGTTATAAATAAATAAATAAAAAATTATAACCTGACCTACTAGTTATTGAATCTTTTTTTAATAAAATGTTTCATTATTATTATCATCTAAGTCTAAGTCGTTTAATTACTTTTTAGTTTTTTAATAATTAATTTAATTTATTCTAGTCATTTTTATATGAGAAAAATAATATCACGTATACGTTTTATAATGAATTAATATATTTCGGGAATCGAATTATATATTCTTAATAATATAAAAGTGTTCAAAAATTATATTTGACTTTTAATTTTAATTATTTTATAGCAAAGAGTTCCGAAATCTCTTACACACATAATGGGGATTTTTTTCATCCATATAATTCGCAATTAAGTATATATGTTAATTATTAATTTTAATAAAATAAAAATTAAAATTAAAGGTCAAATATAATTTTTAAACACAAATATATTAAATTAATTATAAAACGTATACCCATGATAGTATTTTTCTCGTACAAAAATAATTAGAGTAAATTAAATTAATCATAAAAGA